ATGGCAACAAATGTACAAATGTGTTTGACACATGGCTGTATGTATGGATTATGATAAGAGTTGTACGAGCCCCTGATAAAATGATTTTTAAAAAAATTAGAAAGATAGTGATAAACCCAGAGAGTACTGTTCTAAAAGCCTAGTGATGAAATATTTCAAGGAAACTGTCATCAATGGTATAAAATCCTTAAGCTATCACAAAAGATAAAAGACCATGAGTTAACCAGGGTCAACTCCCCTTCACAAAAACATAGTCATGGATTTAATAATAGGAAGGTCGTTCATGACACTGCAAAGTTGTTTTAGCAGAAAAATGGAAATGAAAAGTATCTTGAGTGGGTTCAAGGGAATTGGAGGCGAGTCATGGAGATAATGACTATGGAATAAACTCTTGAGTCTTTTCTGTTCACGGATGTTGAGAGGGATGTGAAGGTTTTTTGTTTGTTTGTTTTTTAAGCAGGATATAATACTACTAAAGAATGACCATGGAATGATTCATGATTCAGGAAGGAGGAGAAAATATATACCTTAGACCACAGGATGACCAACCTTAATGGTGACAAATACTGCTTGTACATTAGCAGGGGGGAATGCAGGGCCGTGGGCAGCTAGGAGTCCCTGATCAATGTAAATAGTTAACAGGTTCAGTAATTGAAAGGTTGGAGTTTTAAGGACCTTGAAAAGTGATCTGGTGATCTACTTCCAGAAAATCAACCTACTGACAAACATGGGTCATCATGAGTGGGAATTCACTCAATGGCAACTGATTTAGTTTGGTTTTATGGGCACCCAGGGATGTGAGGAAGGAGCCTTGTGATACATAGAGTTGAGCATTGAGCAGCTAACTACAAGATCGGTGGTTCAAACCCATCAGCTGCTCTGTAGGAGACAGCGGAAGCTGTCGACTCCTGGGAAGATTCACAGTCTCAGAACGCCTAAGGAGCAGTTCTACTGTGTGTGACAGGGCCAGTTTGAGACGTGATGGCAGCGGGCAGGCTTATGAAGGGTGAGATCATGAGGAAGTAAGAATATACCTGTACTTGACAAATAGAAAACCCAAACTCACTGCCTTTGAATTGTTTCTGACCTTATAGAACAGAGGACAACTGCCCTTGTGGATTCCAAGACTAAATTTTCACAGGAGTAGAAAGTCTCACCTTGTTCCCAGGAGCTTGACCTGCAGTTACAGTCCAAGGTGTAACCCACTATGCCACCAGGGCTCCTCTGATATACAGAAGGTATACAATAAATAGTAGTCCCATTTTCTTTGAACTGCTTTGGGTTTTTAAATTTTAAATAATGCCAACAAGTTGAAGTTACAGATAGCAATTGGTGGGTTGCTGAGAACAGAATATTTGGCTCTAGAAAACTGTGCAAGGCAAAATGTTGGTGAAAGACTTCTATACTGGTTAGGAATATTTGGCTCTTTCTCTCTATAAAACTCATGAAAATAAGACAAGGTTGTTTTTTTTTGGTTTTTTTTACTCATATGGAAGAAGTCTAGAGATGGACAGTCTGGGCAGCTATGGTTTCATCATGCCACCAAGGCCTGACCTCTCTCTCCCATCTAGCTTCTAGTTACAAGATTACTTACTTTCTACTTGCTTGTTGACTGCTAGAGCCCCAGCCATCATGTCTTAGTGTCAGCAGGAGGGAGGGGAGAGGGCGGAGGAAAGAAAAGGGCTCAAATCCTTCATGTTAAGGAGCCTTTTTTTAATTTTTTTAAATTTTTTAAGGGGCCTTCTTAGAAGTTTCTTCTTAGCAGTTCTTTCCTTATGGATCTCTGGTCAGAACCTGATCTAGAAGGAAGCTGGGAGACATTAGCCTTTCAACAAGGTACACTGATACCCCGAATAAAGCAGAGGTTTTATTACAAAGGAGGTAGCAGTGAAAGATAATAGGAATAGGATAGGTACTCAATAATCTCCACCTTGGCTCAAGACAGACTATAGTTTTGTTTACGAAAGGTTTGTGTTGGAACCCTTGTTATACCACTGACTAATTGTGACTGGACATTGGGCAACTGGGCGTGACTTCAAATTGTGCCTCAGTTTCCTCTTATATAAAATTAAGTGAAGACTACACAGGGTTATCCTGAGAAATAAATGAAACAATACAGGTCAAGTGTCATGGTGTCTGGTATAAGTAGCTACATAAACTAAGTATGGTATATAATGGTATACGTATGTGCACATATGAAATAAACGTTATCAAATTATATATCTATCAAAACCCATAGGATTTTACAACGCAAATTGTGAACCCCAAAGTAACCTATGGGTTGTACTTAATAATGTGTCACTATTGGTTAGTCAGTGCTGCCATCCACACTGCAGGCATGCAAGATGTCACCAACGGCAGGAACTGCATGTATGAAGGGCCGGGGATCGGGGAACTCTGCATTCTGCAGCTCTTCTGTAAGCCTAAAACTGCCCTAGATGTTTTTATACGCCATTGAAAGGTAGTGTCTACTGAGTGTATTTTTACACAAATAATGTATACACCTTTTGCTAACCACATCCTCCCACCTCAAGGTATTTCCATAAGCATGCTATGCTAATTTATTTTTTACAGAAACATGTTAAAAGTTAGCATAGGATGGCTATGAGAATACAAGGGGTGAGGGGTTTGTGTGTTATCTGAACAAAAATATGGTAATCAAGCTGCCTGGCTACTCAGAGTTAGAGATTTAATATCAGAATCACAAGTCCCCTTTCTCCATATTGTACAATACTCTGAGATCCAGGAAGGAGCGTTATAGGAAACTGGCATTGATTGATTCCAGTTGTTAATCATGGCCAATCAGCTTGTTCAGATGCTTTCAAAGAATCCCTGCCGCTGGTACCAGCCCTGCGAAGTCATTTGCATGAAGCTTGCTGAGATAGTGCCATTTTGCCAAACCTGTATACCTTCATTGTAGGTCTTCAAAGAGTGGGTAAATGCTTCTCTAGCCATGGTGGTTTTTCTCGGCCTGTTGTTACTCATCCTTAATAACACCCCTTCCTGGGGCCATAATCCAGAGCTGGTGTAAACAACACAGAAACGGATTGCAGGTGCTGTTATCCCCCGCCACCCTGCAGACTGGTAGTTACCACATACTAAATGAAAAGGCCAGTCAGCCCGGGGTTTTGCAATGTCATGAGTGGACATTTCCCTCTCAAACGAAGCCAGGGATGGACAAAACACTAGCCTCTTGCCGGAGTTGTGTTTCAGCCAGTGCAAGCGCTGCGAGGCAGACTCTGGGAAAATGAGTGGATTTAGGGGAACAGTCAGTTTTCTCTAATTGCATTACAATTATTTCAGGCGGAAAAAAGCAAGAGATGGACTCAAAGAATACTACATAATCTTGCTTGATCTTAAATTACCCAAGTAGTTGAGGCCATTGGTCAACAAGGGAGGTTTCTCAGAGGAAAGCCCAGCATAAGAGGTGGGACTCAGGCCGTATTGCCCCTTTGCCTCATCACAGGCAAACAGGCAATAGACTGAAAAAGTCCGAGCTTTTGTGGCTTGGGTTGCTTGATTACTGCAAACTCAGTTTACAAATTTACAGGGATAATATTCCCTTCAATTCTAGCATGCCTGTGAGGAATTAGTGACAAGGTATGTCAAATATCTAAAAGGGCTGGCCTCACGGGAGGTGCTTAGTATATTAGTGCTTTTGTGGCCTTCCTAGAATTCATTTTCTTTTTTTAAATCATTTTATTGGGGGCTCATACACCTCTTACGACAATCCATACATACATCAATTGTGTAAAGCACATTTGTACATTCATTGCCCTCATCATTCTCAAAACATTTGCTCTCCACTTAAGCCCCTGGCATCAGCTCATTTTTTCCATTTACCTCCCCCCTCCCTCATGAACCCTCAGTAATTTATAAATTATTATTTTGTTCTATATTACACTGTCCGATGTCTCCCTTCACTCAATTTTCTGTTGTCCGTCCCCCAGGGAGGAAGTTATATGTACATTGCTGTAATGGGTTCCCCCTTTCCACCCCACCCTCCTGGTATCGCCACTCTCACCACTGGTCCTGAAGGGATCATGTCCTGGATTCCCTGTTTCCAGTTCCTGTCTGTACCAGTGTACATCCTCTGGTCTAGCCAGATTTGTTAGGTAGAATTGGGATCATGAGAGTGGTGGGAGGAGCAAGCATTTAGGAACTAGAGGAAAGTTGTATGTTTCATCATTGTTACACCATACCCTGACTGGTTCGTCCCTCTCCACAACCCTTTTGTAAGAGGATGTCCAGAATTCATTAAAAAAATCTTTAAAATCCTTTAAAAAATATTGAAAATATCAATGTGCTATATAAAATATATATTTTGTGTATTCTATATAAAAATATAGAATATCCAAAAATCCAAACATATCACTTAATGAACTAATTATAAAACAAATACCAAATGTCTTAGAATAAGTACAGCCAGCATGCTCCTTAGAAGTGAGGATGGTGAGACCCTGTCTCACCTACTTTGGATGTTATCAGGACGGTCAATAAAAAAGAGGAAGACCCTCAAGATGGATTAAAACAGAGGCTGCAATATTGGGCTCAAATATAGCAATTGTGAGAATGTGGCCGGGCTGGGCACAGCTTCCTTCTGTCGTACACAGGGGTGCTGTGAGTTGGAATTACTTTGACAACACCAACCACCGCTACCCAGGTATTTGGGACAATGAATACAACTTTGCCCACACCTCCAGATCCTTCTCTTCAGAGTAACTGCTGCATCCTTTCTGAGTAATCAAGGGATGGAGGTACCCAAGTGTGTATCTCAAGGTTCTGTAGTTTCGCTCATTTTAATAAAATTTCATCTAAATTTTTTTCTTTTTTTAATTAGTTTTATTGGGGGTTCTTACAGCTCTTATTACAATCCATATACTTCCATTGTGCCAAGCACATTTGTTCATATGTTGCCATCATCATTTTCAAAGCATTCTCCTACTTGAGCCCTTAATATCAGCTCATTATTTTCCCTCCCGCCCCCACCCTTCCTTCCTCATGAACCCGATAACTTATAAATTATTTTCATATCTTACATCATCCACTGTCTCCCCTCACCCCCTAAACAAATATTTTCATGTATACGCTCCTGCTTGAGCCTTCTTTCTGTTAAGCATGTGAGCTGTTTGCCGGCAGCTTCCCACTCTGGGTTTTGCTGACTGCAGTTGGGGTGCGGGTCGGCATATTTTCTGTCGTTTGACAACGAGGTGCCGAGGCATGATGATACTCGGGTTCAATCTCTTTGACCAGACTATAGGAAATGGTATGTTGTCATCAGAAACTTACTTTTAGAATGTTAGCAGCACTGACAAGGAGCTTGGTGGACTGTCGTCGGATTAACTGCTGGACTGCTAATTGCAAACTCAGCAGAGATTCAAACACATCAGAGAACAGTGAGGCTGACTGCTCAGGGAGACTTGCAGGCTCAGAACGCGTGAGACTCTACTTAGCACTAGTGCTTTGTTGTTAGCAGCCATAGCTATTGCCTCAGGAGTATGTACATCATGCAGTTGGGTTAGAAATGGCAATATTCTATGTCCATGATTAGAAACAGAATTTCCCTTCACCCGTGGTTACCTAGTGACACAGTTCACAGAGAAGAGCAAGATAAATGTTTCTTTACTCTTTATGTTTTCAAGAGGTATCGGTTCTTTATTATTCTCTGAAGGTGACTATAAAATTTCCCGGAAAAAATTTCACTGGTTCCATTTCCCGTGAACTCTCGAAGCCCCTTTGTATATGCATCGATTGTTGCAGGCTGCCGTGGATTGACTCATGGCAACCACGTGTGCTGACTTGTGACATTAAGGTTCTCAGGACTGAGCTCTTCTGATTACCAGGTCTGTTTTCTCAGGTGTCTCTGAGTGGGTTTGAACCATCAACCTTTTGGCTAGTCGCAGAGTGCTGAACTGTTTTTGCCGCTTAGGGAGGCGTTTCCTCCTATAAATAATATACGAGGGGGTACCTCCCCAAATGCTATTTTCTTCAAAGCTATGTATTTGAACATTTTTCAAACTTGTTTGGATGGCTGACACCTCCCTCGTTTTTCCCTTACTTCTGTCGACAAATCACTGGTCTTTCATGTCCCTCTGCATTTGCAGAAACTCTTTGTGCTACTGAAGTTGTTAAAACTGACCTTTGCTGTTGGAACATTCCCAAAGAAACATACTTAATCGGGTACTTTTGTCTTCTAGCTGTTTACTTCTCAATGGGGACAAATTGACGTCTATTAAATGGGGGAAGGTGTTTTCACATCAAGATGTACTGGGGAAGTGTGGGCGCTGGTTTGTTTGCCGATTAGAAAGGAGGTGAAATTACACAGTTGAGCCTGGCTTGAGAAGTGAACCAAGCAGGAAGCCCTGATGCAGACTCCTGGAAAGCAGCAGGGTTCGGTTGCAATTACTGCCTTTCGAATCATTGAGAAGTCTTCTCCATAGGTTCACTGGGCTTGTGCTTTTTATAGCCAAAGTTAATATTATTCTTACATATGAAATAGTTAGGGTTGAAACATTTCTTTGGGGGTGGGGTGATGCTTAGAAAAATATACTCCTTATCTAATACTGAAATGATGTAATGTTTAAAAAAACTTAATGTTGAACACTGAAATGGAAGATTTACTTTTAGAAAATAAACCTTTATACCGATTAATGCTCCCATGATAAGTGCCATATTAAATATAAACCCGCGATGAGAAATTTTAAAGTCATGGTGGAGGCATTGTAATTTTACCAAAACCAAGCTCACTGACATAGAGTTGATTCCGACTCACGCCTGGAAGGCAGTGTCCTGTGGAGCCTCAGCTTCTGCATCCAGAACCCCAAGAATGGAGTATTTAAAATCAGAATTACACGTGTATACACAGCCCTCTCTCTGGAACCACCTGCCTCAAATGCAATCACCACAAGGTTCCAGCATCATGCCCTTTCCACACAGTTGGTTGATCCTGATTTCACTGATTTCGGGTGGCCTGTGGTGGAAGCAGGCATGACTGGTCTCTTGTTGGGAGGGCTTCTCAGTGTTACAACCATCTATACTTGTGTAGGGGTATATGCACGAAAGAGAACTGGGCAGATGTGATTTTGAAGGGCCTCCTGAATCAAACCTGATCCAGAGTTGATTTTGACCTGTGGCGACGGTAGAGGACAGGGTAGAACTGCCCTGTGGGTTTCCATACCCTCCTTATGGGACTAGAAAGGCTCCCTTTTCTCTACAGTCAGTGCTAATCTCAAATATTACAAAAACAAAGGGTCAGTGGTAGCTGGCACTGGCAGATGTGACGCGATAAAATAAAGTTTGATGGCAGGTAGCATGCTCACAAATGGTATCTTATTTAATTCTCACAGTAGCCTCAGGCGGTATTTGCTGCTTCTTTCACAGATAAGTAGAAGTTATGGGGACTAAATTAAGGCGAGATGATAATGTGACACCTTTTAAGAGTGAGCTTCTTGAGGGCACAGCATCTTCAACCAACCACAGCACTGAACTCAATAGCAATTTGCTGAATATTTTTAATGGAATGACAAAGTCGAACACAGTTTGTCACAAACATATGTGTGCAATGATATTTATTGATTCAAGGATCAGCAGTTGAAAGCAGTCTGGTCAGCCACAAACCTGCACAGGATTCTGGTCCTGATGGCATGGCCAGCCAGTTAGATGGAGATGATGGTAAGAGGTTCAGTGATTGTGTTCAGGTGACTTTTTGTGAAAACAATTCCGGAGACCAAATATTACTAGTTTCAGGCACTGAAGAAAGTCGGTTTTCTGAGAATGGGAGGCAACTCCTGACTTTTGAACAAATGACCGACTCTCTTGAAGTCCAGCCCGAATGTTTACAGGCATAATTAGGAGTTTTCTGTGTTGCAACTATTGGAAGTTTACTCTTTAAGTCTTTAATGAAACATGTATCTGTTCTCTGGGGAACAGGTTTTAGTTCCTTTCTTGTTAACTCTTCTTGATAAGGGGAATTACAGGTGGCCAGGCCCTTTCTTAGACTCGCACTTTGGAATCTAAGCTTATCTGAAAGAAATCCTTTTTTTGTGGTGGGAGGCACCCAGTCATTGTCGTCAGGCTCAAAGCAGAATCTAAGCTTATCTGAAAGAAATCCTTTTTTTGTGGTGGGGGGCACCCAGTCACTGTCGGCGGGCTCAAAGCAGCCAGCAACAAGAGGGCCATCGTCGAGACACACGGGTGGTGTAACACCATATCTCACAGGAGTTTGGGATCTCTGGAGTTTTGCTGCGTTTTCATGTTTTGGACCATTTTGAGTGCCTGGCTGTGTGTCAATTTCAGAAGAAATCCTTCTTTTTTTATAGTTAGCATCAATATCTGAATAAAAGGCAGGTAGTCTTTCGAAAGCTCTTTTCACTTCATGAATTCTTGTTTGGTGGACTCTTGAAATGGGAGTGGATTGTGAAAACGGAACAAAGTCTTGGCTCGCTTCCAATTCAAAGTCCGAATCTGACAGAAAATCCGGTGGTGAGTGTGTTCTTGAGGCCACAGCAGAGATGTTTGGTGAGGCTTGAGCTAATTTTTGTGACTGGCTTGAGCTCTTAGAAAGTGATCTCAGTGAAAAATATGATTCGGCATGATGGCTTTCTTTCAAAGACTGTTCCCACAGTGAATGACTATCCTGTGATCTTTTGGTAATCAGGCTCGCAATTTCCATTTCTTTAGCACTAACATCAAAGAGATCAGCAGAAGCATTGTAGCTATGTCCAAGGTTACAAGAGTAACTCTGTGTTAAGTTATTGAACAGTCCATGAGGCAGTTCTTTCGGTGTGTTTGAACTTGTACTGCTGCAAACAGGCTCTAAAGGATATATAAGTTGCCTGCAAATTTTAAGACTATCATCTTGGCTCTCTGGCCACCTATAATACTTCTTCTTTTCCAAGTTGCACAGGTCAGAAACATCATACTTCCAAGAACTCAAAGCGGTCAACTTCTCTCTCCTTTCGGCAAGTGAGTTTTCTCCGTTAGCGTGTTTGAGGTTGAGAAAAGAAAGCCCGTTCTCTGAAGCACTGGGCTTGGGTGAAATGCTAGCTTTCTTAGGAATGCTTGTTTCGGGCTCTACTGAAGATGGAAATATAGCTGACAGATAAGCATTTGGTAGAAAAGAATCAGAAATCTCTCTTCTATCAGCACGTACAGTCTCTATGTGATCTGGTTGTGACGTCTTTGGAACACCAGGACCTGGATTTGCTTCACACCTGGAATGGAAGCTGTCTTTGCTGGAGTCTGCTTTGGCTGTTGTTTGCAGTGATCTTAAAGCTGTAAGTGGTGACGGCAGGGCTGTTGCGGTTCTCTGGGGAGTCACAGAAAACCTGATGTCGTCTGTATGCAATTTATCATGGCCATTATCTATATAGTTCCTACTACTGGTATTTATTGGAGTTTTAGTAATATCACTTTCAATAACTGCCAGAAACTTGTCCAGGCTTTCAGAGAATGGCAGCTCATCCCACACCTCAGGGTCCCAATCCTGGGAAACACTAGCTATCTCTTCTAGTCTGCGTGGTGGTGACGCACACGCAGCGCTCTCTTGGAGGCCACAAGGGATATCTCCATCATCATGCTGGTGACCTGCTGTTAGCTCAGGCTGGGAAGACTTATTTTTAATTTCCACTGCGCTACGGGGGGATTTTATATTGCTCCGCTCAAGGAGCTCTTGCATTTTCATAGGGAATAAATCAGAGTCAGTAACTCCAATTTCATGATGATTACTATAAACTGCATCACCTTGATTAGCTTGTAAGCCAACTTTGTCACCTGGCTTTTCTGCGTCACTCTTTTTATCCACACATGAACCAAGGCTCCGTGAATGCTGAAGGGCATCCTGGTCGCCATTGGAACCAGGGACCTCTGCAAAGGAGATACACCGTCCGTTCTGGTGAAGACCACCAATGGCCCCGCACTGTTCTGAAGCGGAAAAGCCCTCATCATCTGTCGGGTGTGACACACTGCAAGGGAGTTCAAGGCACGGCTGCCAGCATTGCAGACAGGCATCCCTGCCACAGGACTCCAGAAAGGAGGTGCTGTTGTCAGAACCACATATGCTGCTGAGGTCACTCTCTGAGTGACCAGAAGCAGGCACACAGCTGTTTGCCTGGGTGCCCTGGTGAAGCTTCCCTGCATTGGAAGTCTGCAGGAGCTGATGGAAGTAGTCAAGGACAGTGAAGCCTGCAACACTTGGGTCTGGCAGAACAATCTGGGAAGCTACTAGTGCTTGAACTTGTCTTTTGTGGTCAGGTATGAACTTCCTGGAATCCAAATGTTGGTTTCTGAAATTCTGTGCAAAAAATACATGTATTTAAATGAGAATGTAATTTATTTCTCTGATTCAATGTGAAATAGCAATGTTAAGGGTAAAGCAGATCAACTCTAATCTTCCACCCTTCACCCTCCCTGGTTTTAATTCCTTTAGCATTAGAGGCAAGGAACCCTGCTGACCCAATGGTTAAGACCAGCTGCTAACCTACAGGCTGGTAGTTGAAACTCACCTAGTGAGACCGTGTCGGAAAGGGGTGGTGACGTGCTGTCATAAAGATCACGTCCTACAGAACCCTATGGGCGCTTCTATTCTGTCATATGCGGTCCGGCGGAGCTGAAACTGACCTGTGGGCATCTGACAGCACTAGAGGGAGAACAGCAGGAATAAGAGCACGTACAAGGCGAGCTTCAAATCCTGGTTCCAGCACTGACTAGGGATGGGTCTTTAGACAAGTCCCGTAACCTCTCTGAGCCTTGGTGGCTTACTGATGGTGCCATGGGTCAAGTGCTGTGTTGCTAATTGAAAGGTCAAAAAGGTCGGCGGTTTGAATCCACCAACTAGCTGCTCTACAGGCGAACAAAGTAGTCTGCATCCATCAAGATTTACAGCCTTAAAAAATGAGGAGCTGATACCAAGGGCTCAAGCAGAAAACAAATGTTTTGAGAATGATGATGGCAACAAATGTACAAATGTGCTTGCACAGTGGATGAAAGTATGGATTGTGATGAGTTGTACGAGCCCCCAATAAAATGATTTTAAAAACAAACAAACAAACAAACAAACAAAAGATTGACAGCCGTGAGACGTTATGGTGCAGAACTACTCTCCCCTATAGGGTCGCTATGAGTTAAAATCAACTCCATGGCAGTGGCTTGGGGCTACTTTTCTTTCCTGTCTGCTTCCAGAAACATCTGAGTTTTAGGGAATGTCTTTCCTTATTTGAAAGAAGCTGCAAAGGTTTTTTAACAAAACAAGGTCTGAAGCTCTCTGTTTCACTTTCCTTTTTTCTTCTCTCACTGTTCTGTGGTGTTGTCCTCTATTTCCCTTTTTGAAACCCAGTTCTAGCGGCTAAGAAATTAATTTTGTTCCTATTAGGGCAAGCAAAATATTGATAGAATGTTCCAGAGAACAGGTTTCTACTCCAATATACCAGACCAACCCCCAAAAGGTTCACGTAGCTTTGCAGACTCTTTTACGGATAACTTCTGTGGCCTGCTCCCATAGGTCTGTGTGAGTTTATTTCTCCCAGGGACGCATTGACCACAAAGAACTGCTAACACATTCTCCAGGCCTTACGAGCCCCAGTGTAACTAGTGAACCAGTTCTTCTCCTATGTGTCTCTGAGAGGATTAGCTGTGGACCATTTCTTGGGAGAATTGAGAAAAATAGTCCCTAACATAATTTTCTGTGTGGATTAATTTTCTTGCAGAACCCGATTTGACTGAATCCTTCTAATCTGGTTTCACTCGAGTGATGAGCAGGGGTAATTCTTCCATCTTACAAGACCTTAGCTGCCAGAACTCTAGAAGTGGGTTGAATACAGGTCCACATTTGAGCTTTTATTTTTGGAGTAGGTGATAACACTTTTCCTAATGTGCAACCCTAAAATCACTTCTGTAAGTTTTAGAGTATGCACACAGACCTAGAGTCAGAGCTTTGAGAGATTCTGATTCAGAAACAAAGCAGAAGCCCTAGTTTTTCCTCTTGGCTTTTGCCACTTACTAGCTCTGTGACCTAAGACACACAATTTAGCCTCTCTGAATGTGTTTTCTCATATGCAGAGTAATAATACTATGTTCTGAAAATGGTTGTCAATTGTAAGCTTCCCCCCACAAAGAAGAACCCCAAGATTCAAAGAAATATCACAAAGTCTAATGGATATAGGTCTTCACTCAGAATGATAGTTAAAACCCCATTTTCTTCAAGTCAAAAAAATACCAAAAGTTAACATCATATCTTATATGTTTCCTAGGCACAATGACTGGAACACAGTAGGTATTTAATAAGTATTTGACAAAACAAAACAAAAAACCCCAAAATGTGACGAATCCTTTAAAGTTAGTACAGTCTTTTGACTGCTTCTTAAGTGACTTGTATAATCAAGACTATCCTTCTGTGAAAGGAAACAGAGGAACGATCTAAGAAACAGAGATATGCATAGTGGCATAGGCACGTCCATATGTTAGTACATTAGCTCATAACAATAGAGGTATTGGTCCATGCACATATATTTATATGGCAATACACTGAGGTTGTGGATGTACTTTGGGCCTCTGCTCATGCCCTCCCTCAATACAAGCACATCTTGTTCTAACAACCTGGCATTCTGATGCTCACCTCCCGGCACAATCGCTGAAGAAAAAATGGTGCATAAGCAAATGTGAAGAAAGCGAGGCTGCCTGGCTATCAAAAGATATAGCACAGCATCTGGGGTCTTAAAGGCTTGAGGTTACACAACCGGCCGTCTAGCAGAGGAGCAACAAGCTCACACAGAAGGACACAGCCTGTGCGCTCAGGAGGTGCTGCTGGGATCGGGTTACAGGCACCAGAAGACCCAAAGCCCACCTGTCAACAATGGGACATCCCCTCACAGAGGGGTCTCGGGGAAGGGATGGGTCAGCCAGGGTGCAGTAAACCACAATGAAACACACAATACTCCTCTGGCTTCTTGAGGCTTCCTCACCCCCCACTATCATGACCTGGAGCATATGCACAGATACAGACAAGACCTAAGAGCTCACGCTACACGGAATCCAGGAACAGGAATGGGAATAGCAATACCAGAAAAGTAGGGGAAGTGGGGATAGGAAGGAAGGGGAACCGATCATGATGGTCGACAAAGAACACCCACTCCCACCCCCACCCCCGACGACAAATAACAGAAACCGTGGAGGAAGGGAGGCGGCGGTCAGTGTAAGATATGAAAATAGTAATAATTTATAATTTATCAAGGGGCCACAAGAGGGAGGGAGGGATGGGGAAGAGGAGCTGACATCAAGGGCTGAATAGAAGAGAAATGTCGAGAAAATAATTACGGCAACATATGTACAAATGTGCTTGATATCACTCATGTATGGATTGTTACAAGAGCTGTAAGAGCCCTCAATAAAATGTTTAAAAAAAAGGACTATTCTTTTTACCAAAAAATCTTCACTGCCATCGAGTTGAGGTTGACTCACAGCGACCCTATTCTTAAAGTTTTTTAATCAATATCCACATTGTTTTCAATATTAGTTTTCTTCTTTTTATAGATAGAAGAACTTAAAAACTGGAGAGTTGATGGAAATCTTCATACAAAGTTGGAGCAAAATTTGAGGGTAAAATACTGACCTACTCTAAAAAGAAAACATTTAGGATGTTTGAATTTATAAGAAATGCATTACCTGAAGTGGGCTCTTCTAACTTTTAAAAGGGGAAGTAGACACACATGGTGTTTGAGCAGCTTAGAAATATACTATTTTTAAACAGTATAAAGCGTTTCTCATACCTCTGCACTGTATCACCCATAAGACTGCTTTAGAAAATTAAAATTGCTCCATCCCAACGGAAGTGTTAATAGAAAATGAAAAAGAAAGCTGGTCTCAATTACCGTCACTCCAAAAATAAAGCTTTGTCCAAGAAAACAAGTTTCAACTGCTTTAGTTAACAGGTTCTGAGCTGTGTCACTGTCCAATGTTTCTGGAATTTCATTAGGATCTTCAATATACCTTGGTTGGAAACAAAATAGAAGTAAAATAACTTCTGTCATGCAAATATTCTGATAGCTTTTTTTGCCTCAATACACCTTAGTCACTGGAATGCTAATCTCAGTTTGGATTAACCTTCAACTTGAAATGATTTTATTTCCCTTTTCTGTATTTCTCTAATTTGAATTAGAACTTGTAATTTAAACCAGTGTTTTCTTTACAGTTTAGCTGGCTGGAATAAATGCAATCTGATTAAACATCATCACAATATGCACTCAGGAAATAAAAACTGATCACTCACTTGATTGCCTTCTAAAAAACTAGTGATCCTCTGAGGTCAATTGAACATCTTTTTTATGAAACACATATTACCTTAAAACCACTCATCTTCAAATTCTATCACTGACACATGAGAGGAGTAGCTAGGGGGAGAAGGTGCTTTAAATATTCCTACCTGTACAAACCAGTGGCAGGAAGACCAAAAAATGCATCTAAACAGCTTCCAAAGACAGTAATGCCAAATAGTCTGTTTGACTCTGTAACTTTTAAGGAAAGTTTATATCTATAATTAGTATTTTCAGCTTCCCCAGTAGAGCCACATTTTGGACAATTAGATCTGGAAAATGAAAGAAAAACAGCACAGATGTTTAGCAAAAATGGTTCGTATAATGAAAAACAAATGCAAATAAGCAAAATAATAATTAACATTTTCGTACAAATATATATACTACTTCCTTCCTTAAACTATTTCAGATTAACACTTTCTTTTTTTATTAAATATTTTTATTGGGGGCTCTTACATCTCATCACAATCCATTGTGTCAAGCACATTTGTACATAGGTTGCCATCATCATTTTCAAAGCATTTTCTTTCTACTTGAGCCCTTGATATCAGCTCATTTTTCCCCCTCCCTCCCTTCCTCATGAACC